GGAGGGGGAGAGAAAAAAGGGGGAGGAAATAGGGTGGGAGAAGGAGGAAAGAGGGGGGACATGGTTGAGGCCTGAGGCACCCCACTCATTCCTGCAGGGGCGACCAGGAGGCTTCCAGTGGTGACTTGGTTGGTGCTGGGCTGAATGCAGATGTCAGGGGGATGCGGTTAAAGCCCTTGGCCCCCCACCACCCTGTCTCAGGAGACCAGGGGGCTTCCAGCAGTGGATCAGTGGTCATCACTGAGCTGGTTGCTGATGTTCGGGGTGTGTGGCCAAAGCCCTTGGCCCCCCATTGCCCGGGTTTGGGAGCTGTGGGTGTTTCCTGTGCTGGCTCGGTGGGCATTGCTGGGATGGTTGTGGGTGTCAAGGGGCGTGGCTGAGGCTCCCGGCCCTCCCGCCTTCCTGGCTCGGGGGCCCAGGGGTCTCTGGTCCTTCTAGGTTTTATAGGTGTTCTTTGGTGGTGTTAAACCTTTACTAGTTATTATTAGACTTTGTCTCTGGTATGTGGGTATTTTTTTTTCAGTTCTATTTCTTTATTTGCTGTTCTCACCACTTAAACTCTGCACTGGAACTAATTTGTTGTCCTTTGCTTAATTCTAATATTGGGGAACTTCCTGTGGGGACCAGCACTTGAGCCCTGTAGTTGAGCTAAATTGCTGCTTTGCTGCTAAATCCCTGGGAAAGGCTTTTTGTGCTGCACAGGTTTTAACAATTGTCTTTGTAGGTACTTCCAGGTCTCATGAGGACTGGTACACCTGGGTTTTGTGGAAACTCTGGTCTGGACCTGAGTCTTTTCAACAAACTGCTTGTCCTGTAGTTCTATATTCCTGACCAGTCTACACAGAGTGGGCCTGTGTTGATTGGGGGGCAGATCAGTTATCCATGCTGTGCCCCAGTGTTCCCCCAGTGGGCCCATCTCCCCTTCCACCAATGCCCCAAACACTTCCCATGGGATGGGCTGTGCGCCAGTACCTTGCAATGACTCATTGGCCTCTGGGTGGCTCTTTTTTTGATGTTGTGGTTCCTCACTCCTGTGTGGGTCCACAGGAACCCTGCTAGTGGTCCTGCAGTCCCATGGGCCACCAAGTTCCTCCTCTCCCTGCCATCTGCAAGCAATTTCATACAAAGGGCATGGCAGTGACTTTTGCCAGCTCTTGCTCCATGTGCTCACCAGGGCCAGGCTTGATGCGGCCAGGATTCGAAATGGTTGGAGCCATCTTTTCTCTCTCTCATTGTGGCTTCTCCCACCTTCATGCAGTCTGTAGATCTCTCCTCCTCTTCCCCTGAGCTCTAGAGGCCCCAGCTTGGCTGTAGTTGCTTTTTTTTTTTTCCTTTTTGTCTTTTTTCGTGACCGGCAACGGATTGCAACCCTCAGTGTCACGCCCGTACCGGACCGGGACGGCAATGGGATCGCAACCCTCGGTGTTGCGCCCGCACCTCGCTCAGCCAGTGAGCGGCCGGTCTGTATGTGGGATCCGAACCCTCAGCGGGAGCGCCACCGCGTTTCCAAGCGGCGCACTGTAGCAGTGCGCCACCGGGCCGGCCCTGTAGTTGCTTTTTAATAGTTGTAAATTGGTAGATTTGCGGGAGAGGGTGATGCTCGGGACTGTCTATTCTGCCATCTTGACCAGAAGCCTCCAAGGTGTGATCTTAAAAGCAGAGAGCAGCCCTCACCAGACACTGTATCTACTGGCACCTTTATCTTGGACTTTCCAGCCTCCAAAATTGTGAGAAAAAAAAATGTCTGCTCTTTATAAATTACCCAGTCTCAGGTATTTTGTTACAGCAGCACAAACAGACGAAAACAAGGAGGAATAAGTGCATAGATCTTGACAGGACTGCAACAAGGAGGGCTAATAGTACAGTTTGATAACAATAGATTCAAAGGTGGGGGTTTTCAGAGATAGAGGGACAATGATCTAGAAGGGACCAGTGTTTGTAGGCTGCAACAGGGCACAGAGGAAGGGATAAGGATACTAGGGATGAGACTGTAGAGAGGGTGATGAGAGATGATTGGAAATTCCTGGTCTTCCTCATTACTAGCAAAATTTCTTTGATTAAATTAAGTTGAATTTTTTTCATATGTAGGTAACAGGATAATTAATTGGGGTCTTAATTTGTTCTCACTGAATTTCTCCTCCCCCAGTGCATGGAGCATTCCTTTTTCTTGGGTGCACCGAGAGGCTGTATAGTGGAACTTAAAGCAAAACTTTTCTGAAAACCTCTTCTTAAAGCCTAAGATCTTTGGCACACTTATAATATGTCATTCTCAAAAAGGAAAGGGGAAGAGATAAGTGCATTTTATATGGGATGGGATGAGGCAGAAGTACAAGAGTTCAGGGTACATAGATTCACCAGGAACGGGAAAGGATAGGATTATATAGTTTCTAAAGCAGCAGACTCATTCCCATCCAGCACCAAGGGAAATAGTGGGATTACAGTGGATATGACCCTAGGTATCTGTGTCCCCTGCCTTGAGAAAGATTTCCATGGCTACACATGCCCCAGGAACCCCAGAGCCACTGAAAGAGACTGAGCAAGAAATGTATCAATGTGAACTAGTGTAGAATATAGCCTAGTGGGGCACACCTGAATTTTCTGATCTGTAAAAGATGCCTGGGACCTTTGTATAAACCTAACAGATAAGTGAGGCAAACCCAAATGATTAAGATTAAATTTCACATCAGATTGGCAGGATGGGAGTTGGAATCCAAATAACCATTTTTTTTTTAGCATATTCAAGTTTGTAAACTAAAACTCATAAATACTTTTTACAATGTCAGATGAAGCCCATATTTTTTCAGCTTGTTATATAATTTTAATTTTATTTGTGGAGAAATGTTCTTCATTTCTGTGTAGTTCAATTTGCCTTGAACTTCATTATATTCATTTCTACTTCAACTTGTAAGACTCAACTTTAGGGTGTTGAATGCTCTCTTTTTAGACTTTTGGATAGATGGTTCCATCTGACATGCATTGTAATGGCTGCCTGCTCATCTGTAAGCCAGACAGACTCTTTTACCTTTCCAAAAAAATGCCTTCAGGAAATACCTGGGATATGTTTATGGGGCAAAATTTTTGGATAAAAAAGTATATTGACAAGGTGTGAAGACCCTTAAATATGTCTCCGGATGCTACAATATAAAGAGTTAAACTTGTGAAAAAGAATCGTATTCAAACCAAACGTTTGTACAAAACAGCCAGTTTGTTCTTCGTGCTGTTTTTATGTAATTAGACAATCTTTATCATTACTAGTGAGCATAGGGTAATTGCTAAATGTTCATAGTGGCCCCTTGTGTGCTTCTTTTAAAAGTAAACAAGTAAAATAAGACAATTTTTATACTGACCCATTCTTTGTTTCATTTCAGGTTTGTAGGGTAAAATTTTTTGGAACTACCCAAAATAGGTCATGACCCTTTGGTCATCGAAGACACAGATGATACTTTTGTGAAACAACGAATGGATTTGTGAATTTTAAGTGGTTGTAAATAAAATAGCACTAAGGACAATCTCTGCAAAAAAAAAAAAAAAAAAAAAAAGGCCCATTTCTCCCCTTCAACTCATGCTTTTATTGAACATTTTCTGTATGTTAAGCATCAATCAAATGAGGCACTTGGACATATGGGGTGGCAAAACTATAAGAGTTTGTATTCATCCACAAAGTATGCCATGGACTAGGTTTTGAAAATATAAATCTGTATAGAATCCATTTTACTCCCACTGAAACTATTCTTTTTGAATCAGTTGACATAGTTGTGAACAACAAAATGTGACATATGACAATGCTTTCTGAAACATGTTTGACCTTAATACATTAGCTTCCACCATTCAGTTTTTGGAATTAAAAAGTAGCCACACTTAATGTCTTTATTATCTTCAGGAGCCTGAGTATGCTTATGTGAGGGATAAAGGCCCTTAAAAATTTTAAAAGTGCTGTTAGGTTGGAAATCAGTGTTGGAAAAAGATTTACTCGATAGATTTGCAGCACTGGAGTTCATAAACTCACTGCTCCCTTTGTGAGTGACAAAGTTACTAACAGATAATGACTAATGACTTCTACTTATGATCTACCCTGTTTCATGCTTTGAAAAAGGGTCCACAGAATAATGCTCTCTCTTAGCCTTGGGGCTTCACACCCTGTCCAAGCTAATGCCAATTTGTGATGATACTGTTATTCCTTGCCTTATTACACTGTCTATTAAAGTAGCTGAAGGCAGTGGGCCCTATATATAAAGCTGAATGAATCAATTTGATTTTAATGAAGCATTTTGAATTTAGCTTCTAAAAGTCTGGACAAGCTTGATATGTCCAGGTAGCCCGGCTCCTGAATGTCTGGCCACACTTGACAAATTAGGATTACACCCAGCAGGCCCTTTTAGGGCCTTCTCTTCGTCCCAAAGGAAGAACTCAGCTTCCTTAACAACCTGCCAAGATTACACCATCTTCTGTTTCATTCTGCACTAAACCCTTTTTTTGAACACAAAGAAACTACATATTTACTCCTCTCTTTGGATACTGTTGCTCTTCTTTCCTCCCCACTGGATTTGAAGATACAGGAGTGAAATGGGAGGAAAGGTGGCATTAAAACATATTTGGAGCTGGCTGGTGGCTCACTTGGGATAGCATGGTGCCGATAAGACCAAAGCCAAGGGTTCAGATCCGTGTAATAGCCAGCCTCAGAAAAACAAACAAACTGAAACACATGACTTGCTTGGGTTTTACCCATACCATGTGAGTCTGTGCCTATGTGTAAAGTTCCATACATTTAGAAGAAAATTAACCAGTTTCTAATTTCAATTAATTAGTTTCTAATTTCATAAAGATACTTATCAAATTACGGTACCCCTCCTTGGCCAGAATTCCTAATGCAACAACAGGTAGGGACCATTAACACCTTTCAATCAGTGCATTATTACACACTTTAAAGAAATAAATATTCCTTGAATGTGTCCTAATTTCAAGGCATTAGACAAGTATATTTCAATCATGACATTAACCAATAATTTTTAAAATTTTTATTTTTAGAGTTGAACAATGATTTATTGCAGACTTTCTAATGAAGCGATTGCCAGTCTCAAAATTGTTTCAATATTTTTTTTGAGTACAGACAGAATACAAATTGATTTAAACAGGCACGTTTCTCAAAACAAACTGAAGAGTACATGAAACATCCCATTGAATGTGTGTGGCATTATTCCTAGTTTTGTGCATACCATCTCAACTAAATGAATCTTGGCAGAAAACAGTGATTCATTTATCTGGAAACTGGTAGCACTGAAAATATTAAAATTTATGCATTCTAGTGTGTGTGTGTGTGTGTGTGTGTGTGTGTGTGTGTGTGTGTGTGTGTGATTCTGCTTTGCCTGTTTACTATCTTAAGGATGATCTCTTCTTACTATTCCCTCTAAGGATCCTACCTTACTTCAACTGACTTAATCATTCAGAATTTTTCTTTGCCCTTTTCATCCATAATATCCTAGTTTTCAAATATTTCCAATAATGCCTTTTACTTTGGACAAGGGCTTTGGTGAAAAAACTAAATTATACTAAAATAAAACTGTACTCTATTCTCAGGGCTGCTCATGACCTACCAGAACTTTCATGCTTCAAATCATAGGGCTAGGGAAATTGGCTTATCAGGAATCCCCCTCTATACTTCTGTGATGGGCTTGGGCTTCCATGTGCTGCTGCTACAAGGTCAAGTGTGTACATAATTTCTTCTGTTACAAAGTACATTGACTATAAACTTTTATTGTCCCTTCACTTTCTTGTTTTAGCTGGCAAAAGATTTAAAGATTCCAGATGTACTTACATCTAAATCAGAAACATTCATTACATATGAACCACCTTAAATATTTTCATTCCTTTCTATTTGGCTACTCAGCATATCAATCTTCCCTTCCTGATGTGTGACCAGCTTCCTTTATTCGTCAACACTTTATCCTTTAAAGCTCAGTTACACATTTACAATCTCACTTGCCTGGTTACTCTGGGACATCTTTATAGATTCAGTTCACTATTGCCTATGATTACTGGAATAACTGCCACAAAGCACAATGAGAGTTGACTTCCTATAGTACTATATTGTCTTACTGCCTTAAAAATATGATTTTAAGATAAAACTTATATCTTAAGCTTAACTTTGAGTAAATATTATGAAGAAGAAAAAAAATCTTAAAAGACGATTCTACACACTACTTAAATGAGAAAATTTTCTGAAAATTCAAATATAGCAAGCTCCATTTGCTCAGTGATGAGGTACTTGCACAAAGTTCCCCATGGCCTTTTGGTGTACAAATTTATAATAATGAAGACTACTTCTAAGGATATAATTTGACATAAAAGTTTGTTTTATTTTTAAACTACTGCATTTAAAAAGTAATTTGAGTTGTAAACACTCAAGAATAAGCCAGTTTTAGGATCACATTATTGTGTCACAGTAACAGAAATGTGAATCACATTTCTCTGATTCATGGACTCAGGTTCTCCTAAATTCTCAAATTGAGCTACTACACTCTTGATATTTGTTAGGAAAATCCAATCTTCATTTCTGGCACCAAGATGCCAAGAAATGATGTGCTACCATGAAATCACACATAGTCAGCTGCTTTTGTATTTTGGTTAACCAGGTAGTTTGAAAATTATTATCCCACTAGCACTGTCTTTATATTTTAGGAGCAGAACTAGAGGAATTATACTGAGGTATACTTTGTGGTAGTTCTGTTGCTTTCCTATTGCCACAGAACTAACCATGGTATTGAGGATGGATGTGCAGAAATTATGCTTTTCACCAGGTAGCAGTTACCATAGGCGACCACACATCACCTGTCTATGGCGTCTATAACATATTTGGGTGATGGACTAGCATGACTTTCACTATTCTAATTTTGCAGAATTAGATATATGATGAAAGTTGTATTTTTTTTCAAAATCTTTTTATTTTATTTTTTACCTACAACATTAAGCCCCTACATATAGACTGAAATATTTTTAGATTGATTTCTGATTTTATAGAAATAGAAACATGAAAAACACAAGTATTATCAGTCAATGTTTTTTCATTGTTATGTTTTGTTTTTGTTTAATAACTGGAGGGAAATTTTTATTTAGTTTTATCTGAAATTGGGCAAATATTTGATGCTGTCTCATTGTCACATTGTTGGCCAGAAAATAATTTTGACAAATCAACCAATCTGTCCTTGGGGGTAGAATTTGACGCCTACTTTAAAGTATTAAAAAAAAAACAACAAAAACCTCATTCTACAGTACATGTGTATAGGAGTTCAGTCCTGTATTCAGGCTTGCAAGTGTATTATTACTTGGTGGTTTGTGAAAACAGCTATTGCACATCTTTGGGGGTTCTGAGGAAAACCAAACAGCTGAGGCTTTCTTCCTTTCTTCTTACCGGGAGAAAAACCAGCTTAATATGGGGGAAAAGAACACAGCTAGTCTGTCACCTTAATTGTCATGGAGCAGTGAGGCAATGGGTGATCTTTTCGCCTTTATCCCCGTAGTTTTCTCCTCTGGGCATGCAGGTTGTTCAACCTTAGTCTGGGTTATAACATACACCTTACTATTTTTGTCTCATGATCTTTAGTTTTTTATATGACTTTGGAAAAACCACATATGGTTTGTTGATATTTTTCTTTTACTGAAAAATCTTATTCGGGGTCAATTTCTTCGAAAGCTGCTTGTAATCTAATTCATAACAGATTTCTCAACTCCGTGTTATAAAATCTGAATACAGATACTGTCCAAACTGTCCAAAGAGTAATGTTTGAATTCACAGTAACAAAAGTTACAAAGTTTGTGCAAAAAATATTGTACACCATTGGAGTACATAGAGCTTGCTATAGTTATTTTATATATAATGCTGCATTTCTTATTGAAACTATTCTGTACTACATTAAAAGTTAAGTTTCTGATTTAATTTTTCCCTAACAATAAAAATGAATGATCATTTAATCTCAGAAATCTGAAGATGCAAATTGCATATACGTGATGTTTGTCAATGTTGTAATAAATCATTGGAAACTTTTAAACACCATAATTGCTTTGGAGTTCTTCAAGTTTTCCAAGGGTCATGAAGTAAACCCGGCTGTGACGATTGCGCAGGGTAGAGGTAAAGAACAGCTTTAAAAAGAAAGAAAAACACCATCAGTAGATATTTAATACGTTGTAACCAGATATTTGATAAGCGAAAGTATTAAGTTCTAGAATATAACTATAATTTCAATTTATCTGCATCTGTTAATTAAAACATTCAGCCATACTATCTCTGAGAACTGGTTTTCCTCAAATTAAAGAATAAGAGTTTAAATTAGTTTGGAGTTGAAATTATATATTTACAATTTTTTATATTATTCGATATAATTATAACTCATATGGTTTAAATAAAATTATTTCCTTCATAGGTGACATTCATCTGCTGAAGTTCTTGATTAGTTTTGGTTAGCAATGCTTTTGATACAACAATCACAAAAATTCCTTGAACTTCTTAAGTCAAGTGAACAGATATGATGTGGGGGGGTGGAGGGGAGTGGGTGGAGATGAATGGGTAAAGGGGCATGAAAATCAACTACAATGTATATTGAGAAGTAAAATGAAATTTAAAAAAATAATATACTTTTAATTAGTTAATAATTATTTACTTTTTAAACAATTATCTCCTTTTAGTCCAGCTGACTTTTTTTAAAATAAGAAAACAATTAAGTCATTTAGATGTTGTTTACCACTGCTGCTGGTGGTTAAGAAGCCAGTGAAATTTTCTACCTGTTCTGATTGTCTATTTCAGTGAAATGTACTGACATCACCAGATTTATATAATGAGTTAAACCCAATGGCTCAGAGAGGAACATATGTAAATATGAGCTGTGCCATAAAGAAAATTGAACAGAACATGAACATAAATATCAAACAGAGACCTCCTTTTTAGTACTAAGGCTTTTGACATCTAAAACGGCTATACTTGGGAGGGTTTGGGACACAATGATAATGATAAGATGTAGTAGCTACATTTGACTTAACACATTTTATGTGCCAGGCAATCTGTGAGATGCTTATTATATACATATCATCTCTAATTTTCACAATTGTTATTTATAGCAGCTATTAATATTCCCATTTTGGAGATGAAGGAACTTAGTCTCAGAAAAGTCAATCAAATTTTTAGGTTCTCACACCTCCTTAGGTGGCAGAGCCAGGAGTGCATCCTAGTTCTATCTCACCTCAAACACTGGTGCATGCCATTATATCTCTTTTACATTGCAAATTGGCACCTTTTCTTTTTTCTTTTTTTTTTTTTTGGCACCTTTTCTTGATGTACAGTGCTTTACCCTGGTTGTTCTTATATTAACAGTAATCCTCTGTAATCTCTTCAAACTTGAGTATTTTTTAATCTTATTAAGATTGCTTCTTCACATTATTATTTTTTATAATATGTTGAAATGATAATGATTTTATACAATGAACTTTTCCATCTAAATGATTTGAATTAATTCTTTAAATTGATCAACTTACACAATAATTACCAAGTCTTGATTTTTCTTTCCTACAAAATGGACATCATAATACTCTTGTAAAGATAAATTGAGATAGCTTTTGAAGTACCTAGCACAAGGCTTACCATGTAATTAGATGCCCAGCAAATGTAAGTACTTTTCCATTCTTCTGTGATTGAATTATTTTGAAAGCTATAATAAACAGATTTGCTCAAGAATTTTGTTTAAAAATATCATTTTAATATGAACATGAAAAGGACTATGGATCAAAAAAATGATAAAGGAATTTGCACCAAACAAAATAATGACTAAGCTTTGCTTAAGATATAACTAGAATTTTCACTGTTTTAGAAAATATTTTTTAAACCAAATTTCATCATTTACCAAATCAATGTTTCCTCTGCAAAATGTAAAACTGTTTTTATCAACAGTATGCCAACTTGAAAAATATAGCACAGATATATACATTTTGTTGTTAATTTTGAATGCTTGTTTTATTTTTGCCCTAACTGCAGATCGTTAAGTTATACCTTGTCACCTCGGGTGCACAAAAATCTCAGCTTCTTAATTGACCTGCGCTTCAGTTCACTTTCCAGAACCCTTGATTGCGAAGAGCGCACTTCAATGGCCTTTTGGCCCCATCCTGTGGTTCGCTGTGTACACTCAAAAGCTACAACAAAAATGAAAAAAATAAGAAAAACACAAAATCTTTACAATAGCGATAGAAAATTATAACCACAGTCAATGTTTGATTATTAAGAGGCTCATTATATTTCAGGTTGATACATCTTTTCTTTCCCCTTTTACTATAGTCAGTCAGTTAGTCATTTTGCTGCTCAGGAGTGGTGTTCAAACCACCTATCTAAAGGCACTATTGTGACCAAACCTGAACTACTAGATCTCAATTAATTCTTATATTCATATTCTCTCAGATCACCAAAAAAGCCAAGGGTTAATTCTACACTGTTTGTGAAAATTCAAATTTACTCAAAGCCATTCTTTATTTTATAGCCCAGGTGAGGTACAGTATTCCTTACAAGGGTTCCTGATAATGATTTGTATTTGTGCTCAAGTGACATACCTGGAAACCTGACTCTTAAAAATTAAAACTGCTAAAAAATTACTTGCTCAAATAATGACTTTAGCAACCCTAATGCAATTCAATAAATTACCATGTTATATGCAGAACTAAAGCTAATTTGATACTGTTAAGGCTTTTTCCTGCTGAGGAAATTTTATTAAGTTTTCAACATGTTTCTCCCTGTTTTATAATACTTTATGACAATATAGATTATGTAAATAATTGCCTTAAAGCAGAAAACCTAATTATGTAAATAGCCATAAAGTGAGCTGGTGCTGTAAGGTATTTCTGGCATAGGAAGCAGCATCACCATTAAATGTTTAATTTTCAAGTTGATATTCTCATGTACTTTAGAGGGAAGGAAATTTCCATAAATAAATAAAATCCTGACATTTCAAATAATTTCAAGATTTTAACCCAAGCTAAGCTAAAATAGTCTAGAAAACACCAAAATAAGGCACCTTCATTCCCATATTAATATAACTAAAACTGGAATTCAATTAAATGACTTTCCATTTCCATTTTAAAGGAAATAAACTTTGCATTGATATAATTACAGTATAGGTTTTTAAAACGTTTTTCTTATCTTTCTCGAAGGTTCTAGGACATCTTTGCTTAAACCAAAATTTATCTGGCCTATATAAGTGTACATTAAATATACATAGAAGGACCCTATGAAGAAATTATTAAAATTTTATAGAAGTGACTTTACATAGGCATAGTGCAAACCATTTTGAATCCCTCAGCTAAAACCAAACATTTATTATCTCTTGCTTTCCTTTATATTACAATCCAAAATGTTTAGGTGTATTAAGTTGTCATCAAAATTGTAATTAAATTACAATTACATTTTGACTCAGAATAATGGCTGCCCTTTGAAAGACTTTATAAATCCAATTTCAGACTAGAATTAAAGTTATCCCAGGAATAGGAAAAATAAGGAGAATCAGCAGCCTGAGTGATGGGAACAAGTAATAGATTTAGTTTATCTGAATTTGAATATTTTACACCTATGTGACTACTTCATTAAAAATGATGTTTTGGTCAACAACCATACAGAACAAAAATTTCTAAAATTAATGCTCAGGTTACCAGCTGAGTCCAAATACACAGTTCATATGGAATCACATAATTTCCACCTTAGTTCTGAAACACATAAATATGCCACTTAACCTATCTACTGAACTAGCTTGCTTTCTGAGATAGGATGCAATGCCTGGGAAGTGGGAACAATTAGTAATACTTGATGCATTCACTAAGCATCTATATATACAGTGTTTGGAAATGCAATGATCTTATTATTGAAAACATTTATTATAGCTTAAGGAAATGTAAAATTTAGATTGGGGAGATCTGGATCTGAGTTAGTTTTAAATAACAAAGCAGTTTTTTCTTTCTTTGTTTTTGTTTTGTGGCTTGCCTGTACTGGGATCCAAACCTGCGACCTTGGTGTTACAAGGATGTGCTCTAAACAACTGAGCTAACTGGCCTGCCCTACAGTTGTTCTTAAACAGAAAAATAGAGTAATTGTGGGTGGGGGGACCCACGTCCTGGGCCCCCAGGTGGGCCCCAAGGTGCTGGTGGTGTGCCTGATTGTGGGTGGGGGGGTCCAGTCCCCAGCTCCATACCCCAGGTCCCTGGGTAGGGCCCTGAGGCACTGTTGCTGTGCCAGGTTGTGGGCAGGGGGTTCCTGTCCCTCGCCCTGTGGCATGGAGCCAGGCACCAGTATCCCCTGCTCACAACCAGACACACCGTCAGCACCAAGGAGCATGCCAAAAAAATCACCTCCATGTGGCTGGCCCACCACAGCCACCACGATAACCACAGCTGCCACAAAAGTGGCTAGACATCACAACCACCATGCAGATGGTCCATCAGCCACTGGAGTGCATTTACACAAGGAGAGTCACCAGTAGAGACCAAAGAAAAGAAGAGGATGTCTCTCTCCACAAAGCCCATTCCAGAGTGACAGAAGAAGCATCTGCTCTATGATAATATTGGGGGACCTGAACACACCTCTCAGCATTGGACAGATCATTTAGGCAACAAATCAACAGAGTAACCATTACTGTTTTAGAGGGAGAGAAGAAATCTAGGGTTATTGGTGGTGGGAGCAGGGAGGGAGAGGGGGATAGAGAGAGAATGGACAAGGGGCATAAAGAATAAGTACAATTTCTAACAATATATACTAGTAATATTGATTTGATCAACTTATGTCAACACTGAATCCTAAAAATATGTATAATCAAATATGATTCAATAAAAAAAAGAAAAAGTAGAGTAATTGATTTCTTTAATATCAGTGTTATACTGTAGTCTTTAGTATACTCTCAAAATATCCTTAATACACAAACTAAAATGTCATGTTTTCATAGCATTAGAATTTATTTTACACGTATATGTTGTTCAAATAATAGTAGCTTAAAATAGTTTTTTGTTTAGTTCAGAAGTTGTCCTGTTTAAGGATAAGAGCTGTACCAAATCACCTTTCATGATCCCTTTGGCTCCTATGATTGTCTAGTGACATAAATATAGGAGTTTGTTCAGTTTCACATTTGAACTGAATTTCCTTATTCCCATTTCTTATTAACATATTGATCACAAAAAGACCACTATAAGGTTACAACATGATTCATTATTTTTACTTTCCTTTGCCCCAGATCTGTCAATCCTACCATAAGCATTTACCTTCTGTCACTTAAAATGGTTTTAAATCCTCTGTGAGTTCTTACCTGTTTGAAGAAATTGGAGTAGGTTTTCAGGCCAATCCTTAACACTGACTATGCATGCAAAAAGAAAGGATTCTGCAGATGCAGTGTAAAGTGACATCATCCCATACGAAAAAAATGTCCATTAAAAAGAAATTCTTTCAAACTTGTCCTTAAAGCCACATGAGGATCACATTTAGCCATTTTATAGAAATTTCAGAGGCTTCTGACTTTTCTTTTGACAGACAAACTCCATCTTTGTCTCGCTCTGAGTATGTATGCAAGCACGTGCATGCACACACACACACACTGCTGCCTTTCACCTTTATGTATTCCATTAAATTCCTCCTTTTAGGAACATTTATCCAACATCTAATCATTCTACCCTCCCTCATATGTTTACTTTTCAAATGCATTCTTTTCCCTATCTAGAATCATCCCTTTGGTCACTAAGCCTCAGAAACATACACAAGAATCTCAAATTATTCGGATTTCCCAGATCAGCAGTCTTGCACTGGTTAGAAAGAAAAAATGTCCTACTCTGATGAAGATGAAAAGTCAGTTTCCTTTATGTTGCCATCTGGGTGGTATCTAATATGCATTCCAGTTACTCATATCTATTTCTTTTCTAAATGATTTGGCACTTCACAGAATATTCACTAAACAAACACTACTGATTACATGTAATATAAATATTTTGCTCTTTTATGACTATTTGATAGTCTCATACGATAAAAGGTAAACACCCAAAATCAATGTGATAAAAAAGTATTTTCAACATCTGTGTAAAGTCTTCAAGCAAAGGTAGTTAAAACAAAATTGTAGATTACTGTGAAAAGGAATTAATTTAAATTATATAATTATTGCAAATGAACAACTCAGAACACCAAAATCAGTCTCTTTGTGGTACTCTCGTGGAGTACCACATTAAGCATACAACAAACACACTATCACCTTACTGAGGAATTAAGTATGCAGGACTCCAAATTAACCCAATGTGCCTTGAGAAAATGTAATAATTCCAGAAACCTTTTCTTAGGACACAATTTTTACCCTTCAAAAGCTTCTTTGGGATCATTTGAAAGAGTAAGAAACTTTATACATACCTACAGAAGATGGAATGTCTTTCCACACTTCAAGGATCTTCTTGAAGAGTTGTTCATTTGCTTCCACAGAGAGGCCTTCAGCATTGAAGGTAAGCATCATGCCAATTCCCAAGCAATCAGGCAAAATGATGATATTCTGTGGTATAATGATTTCCAGGGGCTGGAATTATGTTTCATAAAGATTCATATGTCCAACATTTTATCATACTACTTAAATTGAAGCAGCTTGGCTGAGCAACAAAGACCAAAAGAGGTTCAAAGTGCATGGAGCCAGAGAAACCTCTATTTCCAAATTAAACACCATGTTATCCAACACTTGAAAAAAGCTGCTTTCCTTAAGTCATAAAGTTGTCACTGTTTAATATTTTCCTTTATATTTAGGAGAAAAGACTTGTTGGAAATTGGCAAAAATATATTTCCAATACAGACAAATTTCTTGAAATTTCACAAAGTATTATGTATAGTGATAGAAGTAACATTACTTACTACAGACTTAGATTTAAGATTCACATTGGCACATTAATGAATACTTTAGTAATGAATTTGTGAGCCATCTAACAAATACCAATCCTTGGTTTTTAGCCAATTCACTCAAACCAGAAATAGAAAATTAACCTAAAAACAGATTGAGCTTAAAATGCCTACAAGGGGCAGCTTTGTAATATTCTTCATAGCTTGAAATATAACAGTCATTCCCAATTTGCAAAATAGTAGGATTTCTTATCCATTTATATAATCTTAAAATACATTCAATACAAAAATTCAGAGACATATTAGGTGACATAACATGAAATATTAAGAAATATCTAAACATTTCTATTTCATGATGCATAAACAATGTGGCAAATTTTGCTTAAACTACAGATATTGTCACATTAACAAATTTTCCCTGAGAAATGAACAATTGTGTTCCTCTACAGGTTCTCCAAATTAGCATGTTACAGGAAAAAAAGTTCAGAAACTATACTTGCCAAACCCAGCGTACTCAGGCCAAGTGCTTGAGGCCATGTCTCAGCAACAACAATCCTTAAAACTAAAATGGGAATCCAGAGGCGAAAAGCAATTTTAATGCGTTCCCTGGGCACTTGCATGAGCAATTGAATCAGAAAAGAGATGAAGGAAAAGAGTAGAAGAAATTACAAGAAAGAAGGCTGTCTCAATAAAATCTTTTTAGAATAAAACTGGACTGCTGCAAATCCAGACAGCCTCAGAGATAATTCTCTTGCTTCTCAGAAGATTTCCTGAAGTAACCAGATATGTTAGCACACACAAATTCTCTTGTAACATTACAGTTTTTGTGATCTAGCACTCTTGGTAAAATACTATTTTTAGTACATTCTGTTTCAGAAGACACCTTCCCCTCCCTTTTATTAGAGTCCTTTCTCTTTTTTTTTTTTTTTTTTTTTTTTATGGGTCAAGACACGAGGGCATTTAGCTAAAAATATTTTTAAATATGTATATAAGGTATCCTAATTAGGTCAGAAAATAATTTTAAGAACTCATCTTTCATTCTAGCTTCCACAGTAATTAATGGATTACTTCGAAAAGAAAAAAAATTTCTTTGCTTATTAGTCAGATGGAACACACGACTCAACCTTCTTGAATGGATTTGCAAATAAGTTTAAACTTGGACCAATGATGCAATCTTCAATACTGCACTAAAGCTTCTAAAGGCTACCTGACACAACATTAAAAAACATAAAATTATGGAGGAAGCTATGAAAGACACCCCAACTGAAGAGTACTATAGTATTTATATCAAAACTAACCTGACCTCATATCTAAGTGGCTTTGGCTGGGATTCGTTAAGTATCTTCTCCATTATAAATAGGGTGATTTGTATATAATCATAGGCAACAACTGGGTGATCAGCTAATGATTACTTTTATAACAAAAATACTTTAAAAATAATATCTCCACTAATGTTCTGACAATTGGTCTCTGTAATTTGTTAGAGATATATGAGATAATTTTGAAAGCTGTTCAAAATATCGCATGGCTACAATGATTAAAAGTACACAAAAGTTTTCTCCTGGACATTTTATGTAATGCTACACTGCTACAATTTTAGTTGTCTGCAAACTGGGAAGTCAAAAAGGGCGAAACACAGAACTGTTGTTTCAGGCTGTCCTTTTAAATATAATTTTGACTCAGAACAACATCATTGCCACTATCAAATTTGAGACATGGTAAAATTATATTTAATATGATGTGTGTGGGAGGGTGATATTATGTTATGCTCCAGGTGTTTATATAAATGATGTTTAAAATATTTTTACAACTATTTATATTTTAGATGTTGTATCATATTTTCACTATTTATAATTACTTAAGAGTTAAGAGTTTGAAGTGCATATGCTTTTAAAATGCTGAATCCTTTGATCAAAAATTCCAACTATAATTAATATTATAAGAAAACATTTTATGATAATTTGCTACATATCACAGTAAAAGTAATACAATAAAGAAGGGGGATACATTTCAATACTGGTGATGTATTTTTAAAGATCTGTTAATGTATTATGGGGTCCAGAAAGACTAAAGCAAGGACCGAAAACTCAAATGCCTCCTGGGGCTAGTTTTTATAAGTGCATAAAAATGGGTGGGTAGAGAATGTACAGCATATATCCCATCTAAAAGAGGGCAAGTGAGAGTCAACTCCAGTTGAAAAGACTGGATAATAATGTGGGCCTGATGTTGTTAGATGTTCTGGTTTATCAGTAGAAGTCCAGATTTTAAGTGTGAACTTTATTCATTAAAAATAAGAACATACTGTGCTGGACAAACAAAATCTACATTCAGAATAGCTTCAGTTGTCTGGACTAAGAAACCATCAGTGATTTTTGTTTATGCATGACCACTTTGTGGCACTATATACTTACCTTTTAGGAGTCAGTTCCAGTGTAGATATTGCTAATCATATTTTTAAACCTTTCAGAGTTTTGACAGTTGGGAAAACCCAAATACTGGCATACAATAATTTCTAGGGAACTGAAGGTATTATCTTACGTTACTTGGCAGGGTCACATCAGACATAACCTCAGATTCTGCATCAATGATATGATATCCATCTGCTGAGCTGAAGAAAATCTTTAGTCTTTTTTCAGAACCAATAGCCAGGTCAACTGTCACTGGCTTATGACCAAGTGTTGGAAATACCTGCAAATATAAACCAAAATATGGCCAGAAGGCCAAAATGACATTCTGACTAAGGCAAAAATTCTCCACTCTTTTGCCAGCTTTACAGGTATATAAAAACCAGGAGGATTTTTTAAATGGCATATTGAATTTAGAGACCTATGTATTACAACTTTTCTTAAGTCTGCTACTACAACAAACACATAATTATATTCAGGTTCTAAATATAGGGTTTCCCTTCAAAGGTCAAACTACCAATAGCATAAGAGCCTTGTATGGCCCTAAACTCTGCCTCATCCTTAAAATCCTTGCCTTGAGTTTCAGCAAATGAAGGAGCTCATCTGGTCTCTTAAACCGGTTAGCTGGATCAGCTGCCTGTATTTTTGCCAGTATTCGTATATAGGCTTCATAGGACATGTAGTCTCCTTCCGAGTCTGCTGATTGATCAATGCATACTTGGTAAGGAATGAAAAAGGCCATACATGTTAACCTACCATAGACTGGGTTTAATCTAGGCTCTTATTATTTCTAGTCCAAGGAAGCAAGAGGCCAGGCAGGCTTCATTGCCAAGATCAGGTCACAGTAGAGGAATGAACATCACAGGATTCACCATACTGTAGCCATGAGGTGGGACTGAAGACCTAGTGTGATGACCTGGACCAGGAACTGTGTATTAGGCTAAACAGACTATTGGTACTTATCTCGTTGCTTTCCAGCTCCGTATCAGGCAGCTCTGACCTATCAGCAGATACCCAAGAACAAACCCATATCCAAATACTGACAGCTGGCCCAGAACCAATTTAGGAAGATCAGATCAGAGATGTGATTTGTGTTGGGGCAGACCCAGACTGTCTATATAGTAACCTGTGCTATTTATAAAAGAACATCATTATTGTGCAAATGGACATTGAGCAGCAGTCATAAGAATCAGCCCATTTTTATCGTATACATGAATGTTTTGACCTACAAAATATACCATGTAAACAGATCCTAATGTAAGATACAAAAGTATTTTATGAATAAGTTGTGGAGGTCTACCAGGATGTGTTCTTATCAGTGCTTTGTAGAAACCTGTCAAAATCACCTTGAAGAAATGCTAAAAATATAGATTCTCAGGCCCCCCTCCAGACCCACTAATTCAGCCTGGGGTTTGGTCTGAGATCTAGACTTTTAATAAATGTTCCAGTTGATTATGATGTACACCCCAGGTTAGGAGCTATTGGATTCAATAGAATGCTGCCAGTTCATTAATCAGCCCACATTACTATGGTTTAAATACAAAGTAATCTTATTTTAGTAGAATTCTGGAGCATTATAAGTAAGTTGCTCTAGATAAAAAACAGTCCCAAGCTTATGGAATGTAATTTTAAAAAATCAGCAGCAGCTTAATTGTTTGGAACACTAAATGTTTACCTTCTGTAGCTGATCCATGGAAATTTAGCTAAATTGTAATAAACGTAGAAAGAGTACTCGGAAGCCTAACCACTATGCCTCACAACAGTTCCAGAGAGAAATGTGTTTAGAATTCCAGCTTAGAAGAGGTATAGACCCACCCCTTTCCTCCCCACCCCCACCTACTGTCGTCATGGTAATTGGAGCAAAGGCTTTCTCTTCCCTTCTTCCTCTTCCAATGGGGTTCCCCCCTCTACCATTGCCACACCTTTCCTTACCTTCCCTCTGCTCTCCACCCCCCACTATGAGAGAACAGGGACTTCCTCAGCTTCAAGTCATTGGGGTGGCACCCAAAGCCTGTGTTTGGGGCTCTAGAAGAGAAGGTCTTCATGTAGACTACAGGAATTGGGAGTGAGGAGCTGGTGGGGAGATCCTGTAAGGGGAGGGGTCAGGGATTTCCCTCACATTCTCCCTTGCTGTAGTGCCTGTGAATTGTCTAAAAAAGGGTTAAACGATAATTATTGACATGGTATATTCAAATTACATTAACTGTAGAAGAATGGTAAATATTTCTGCAACTGCATTCCAAAATACTGTTCTGTTTACAATTTCTTTTCGAAAGAAAAACTGTATGATCCAAAGGAAAAGGAGATCACTTACTTTAATAGCAGTACTTTCATCAAAGGACTTTGGTGCCCATGCATAAAGGTGGATTGATGATTTCAAAGCAATTGCAATATATGTTGTTTCTTCATGCTGGACTACAATGATAAAACACAAAGAAGTAACATACCACAGAGTAAAAAAGAACACTCAAGTATTTATATCTGTCATTAAAAATGTTATAAAAACAAAGTAAGAGCACAGACTGTATATTTTAAGAAAAGCTACTTGGTTACAATTTGATGTCCCCCAAAATGTAACAAAATACAAAATATATAGTTTTATGGAGTGTATTCATTAGCCTTCAAGAGTACTCTAAATTGTACATTGAAAAATATAGAACATTGATGAAAGAAATTAAAGAAGACCTAAATAAATGAAAAAAACTCCCTAGGTCCATGGATGGGTAGACTTAACATTGTTAGGATAGTAATACTATTGAAAGCAATCTCTATAGATTCAGTGCAATCCCTATTAAAATACCAATGGCCTTTTATTGTGGAGATGTAAAAGCTGATCCCAAATTTCACACAGAATTGCAAGAGGATCTGAATAGCCAGAACAATCTTGAAAAAGAAAATAAAAGATGGAGGACTTACACTTCCTAATTTAAAAACTTACTACAAGCTAGCTACAGTAATCAAAACAGTATGGTGCTGACATAGGATAGACATATAGATCAATGGAATAGAACTGGGAGTCAACAAACCCATATTTCTATGGTCAATGGTGCCAAAATCATTCGACAGAGAAAGAACAGTCTCTTCAACAAATGTTACTAGGACAACTGGATAGCCACATGCAAATAATATAGTTGGACCCTCTACCTCATACCATATACAAAAATTAGCTCAAAATGGATCAAACAACTAAATGTAAGAGCTAAAACTGTAATACTCTTAGAAGTAAACGTACAGATAAATCTAAATAACCTTGAACATGGCAATGGATTCGTATATTTGACTTTGAAAAGTATAAGCAACAAAAGAAAAAAATAGATAACTTAGACGTCATCAAAATTAAGAACTTTTGTGCATCAAATGACACTATCAAGAAAGTGAAAATACTCCGTTGAATAGGAGTGGTGAGAGTCCATCATCGGATGAGTGGATATGGAAAATGTGGTATATCTACACAATGGAATACTACTCAGCTATAAAAACGAATGAAATACTACCATTTACAATAACATGGATGGACCTTGAGAGAATTATATTAAGTGAAACGAGTCAGCCACAGAAAGAGAAATACCACATGTTCTCACTTATTGGTGGGAGCTAAAAATAAATAAATAAATACACACAAAAAATAAATGGGGGGGGAGAAGACATAACAATTGCAATTCCTTGAAGTTGATACAACAAGCACACAGAAAGGACATTGTTGGGTGGGAGGGAGGAGAGGGAGGAGGGAGGGAGGTTTCAGTAATGGGCCACAATAATCAACCACATTGTATATCGACAAAATAAAAATTTAAAAAAAAAAAAAGAAAGTGAAAATACAACCTATAGAATGGGAGAAAATATTTGCAAATCATATATTTCATAAGGATCTACTATATAGAATATTTAAACAATGCTTACAACTCAACAACAAAAAAAACAATTTAAAAATAAGCAAAATACTTGAATATACATTTCTCTAAGGACGATATGCAAACGGCTAGTATACACATGAAAAGATGCTCAACAACATTACTCACTGGGAAAATGCAAATCAAAACTACAATGAGACACCACTTTACACCCACTCATATGGCTAGAATCAAAAGACAGACATCTGAAAGTATTTTCAAGGATGTAGAGAGAACGGAGCCCTCATACATTACTAATGGTAATGTGAAATGGTTCAGCCACTATGAAAGTCTAGCAGTACTATCCAAGAGAAAAAAACATACATATCCACATACAAAGATACATAAAAATGTTAATAGCAGAATTATTCTTAATAGCCAAAAAGTGGAAAGAGTGCCAATGTTCATCAACTGATACATGGATTTAAGAAAAAATGGTGGTATATCCATACAATGCAATATTGGTCAGCAATAAACAAGAAGAAAGTACTAATACGTGTGATACAACAAGGATGAACCTTGAAAACATTATGCTAAGTGAAAGAAGTCTGTCACAAAAGGCGATGTAATGTATGATTCCATTTATATTAATTGTCCGGAAGAGGCAAATCTACGGAGGAAGAAAGTAGATTAATGGGTACCTAGGACTAATGAGGGGAAGAGGGAGAAGGGAAGAGAGATGGAATAGGAAGTGACAACTAATGGATACAGCGTTTCTTTTGGGGAAGATAAAAATTAGATCATGGTGATGGTTGCACAACTCCATAAAAATACTAAAAACCATTGAATTGTGCACTTTAAATGGGTGCATTTTATAGTATGTAAATTATTTCAATAGGACTTTTTTTAAAAAGAGTAAACAAAAAGCATTAAAAAGTATATGCTTGCTCAAAGGTAGCCTTCCGGTTCTTGTGGAATATGTTGTTTTACCTTGGTTAGGATATTGTTTCTGTCCCCTCTTGCTGGACTTCGTCTGAGACCAATACACAGTGTCGGTCTCTCTCTTTTGATCTGAGTCTAGCTTACTCTTTCATTGTCTCCTGTATTATTCCCAGGTAAGTCAAGGGAGCATGATTAATAAACCTCAACAAGCAAATAAATTTTCTGTTAAGCAAATACTTCCTATAACTTTAATATAGGGCAGTAATTTATGCCAGTCCATTGTTTTGTGGATCTTAGAAGGCTATGAAAAGACCAGGCAAGTATGACTCATTGCTGGTCTCCTGTGTGAAGCTGCTACCATTTTACCTGTCAGTGGAACAAATGTTTTGGGTTGTTCTGAGAGTTGGTGTGGATTGGAATGGAGTTAACCAGGAAAACTGGATTTATCTAGTCTATTCTCCTACCAAAGCAAAATTTGTAAGATGACTACCTTTGTAACTATCTTTTACTGAACTAAAAATTTATGTTAGTAGGAGGTAGTTCTGCTTTACAAACATCTGGGAATATCTTTTACTTCCGAGGCTATCAAATTTACATACTATGAGTTGGAGAGAAGTAGTGATACCTAAAACTAGAAGTAGTGTATTTATTTAATGCTTAATTTATATGGGTACTCATTTACCCCTTTAATGGTGTATGTGTAGATATTACACACATATGAAAACCCATCCTGTAAAAGCCACTTGATTTGCAGAACAAAATTTGTCAGTCAGGGTAAAAATACCCTGCTGCAATTCATACAATGTGATTCCAGCTATCTCCCACCTATACCACCAGTTCTGCCTAAAGGAGCAATTAGTGAAGAGGGAAAGAAGATTAATAAAGAAGCTGGGAATAGAGGGTATTTGCTTCAAAAATAGAACAGAATGGGATGACATTACTTCACAGTTGCTGACATCTGAGAGCAGACTTCTGAGACCCTGGAGTTGTTACTCCATTTCACAGTAAATGGTTGTGAAGAGACAGGATGTGAAAACACTCTAATCAGACATAAAATAGTTAGCAGTTATACTCATGAATTTGACAGTGGGAGTGAGAGTCAGCAGATCATGGAAGAACTTTCTTTTTGACACATCATAAAGTTTCCTGGTAGGTATTAGGAAGGATTCTATTTTATTGCTGTTCCAAAGAAGGCAATATTATGAGTCTCTGCAGGTTGTTAAAGATGCATCAAGAACATTTATATAGATGAATCTATACAGAGGCAGGAAAAAAAAATGTCGGTTTATCTGGAATATTTAGGGTGACTGGGAAGGGAAGAAAAACAAGGACTTAATCAAACTTAACATTAATAGCTATTTCAGTCAATCAGTATTTTCTCAATAATAGCCAAGATTGTAGTGTGAAAGACTTAGAAGATGTCTCAATAAAATTCACTCATCTTGAAGTTTCAAATTCTTTCATTTATCTACTCTGCCTTTCAGAATTATTTCACCAAATGAAAATAAATGAAAAAAAGCAAAATTTATACAGCTATAGTAAACATGGAATTAGACTTACGGACACTGAAGTGTTCACAGCCTGTCAACTTATCAATAGCTTTGCAGGCTTCCTCCGTCTTTAGCATTTCCTCTTGCCTTCTTTTACTTTCTGGATCATTATTCAAAATTTTGTTCCTCAGCCAGGTCAAATGATACACCCGAAGTCTGTTCTTATGTCCTGATAGATAAAAAAAGATACAGTTCCTTTTCATATATTAGAAGAACAAAAAAGTAAAGGTATTTTGCCTCTGTAACCAAACGCTTTCATTAAAGTACAAAGCACTTTTAAAAAATTACATTGCATTGGAGTTTCTCCTTCAGAGTTTGGAAATGTGATAGCAATCTCTCACTTTCAGGGAATAGTCAAAGTGTCTACCAGCTACCTATGTGCCTGTCTGAAGTGGATCTAAAAAACTTCTTAGAAACAGGTTAAGAACACGACCATGCGGGCAACAGAATTACCATCCATTCATTTCTACCTTGGTTTTTCACTAAATCATTACCACTCAAGAAGACCTAGAAGCTGTCCCTGGTACTGTGTGCATATGGGAAGAATGTCTAAGTATTGACTGTTTAGGCATTCAGGACCAGTAAAATGCATCTCTTTGTGTTCTATCTTTCTAGCATGATTACAAAATAGTCAAATAGTTTTATTATTTTTTTCTCAACTCAATTTATCTTTAATGTTAATTTATTAATTGTAAATCCCATGAAATTCTTATAATTTATTCAGGAAACATAGGCTATTAAAATCACACATTTCTCTTTCTATGTAGTGACTTTATGTTAATTGTTCTTATTCATTTTTAGGATTTATTATTACATGATTTCTAGATCCAACAATGGGATTCTTACTAAGTGATTAATCTTTAATATTTTTTACATAACATTTTTGAAGCAGTGTTAAGGTTAAGATATCTATGTCTATTTCCATTCTATTCTTAAATGGTAAAAAAAAATGTGCTTTAAACTACTGAGTATCCTCCTATACTGATGTTCTCGGTACTATTTGATGCAAAAATAATCCACATTTGAGAGAAGCTCAAGCATTAAAGAAGGGCACATTTGGTTTAGAGAAAGCTGGATGAAAAGTAAACAAATCTGTTACCCAGATGTGTAGTCTTTAAGCTACCCAGATGATTTTCTTAACTAAATATTGCTTCTATGTACCTCAAACAATTATAAATGAATGACCATGAAACGATTAAAAAAAATCATAAAGTCTGAGCATACCTAAAAGGGTTTCCTCCTCTAACCAAACTTAAATCAAACTCAATAATATATAGGAATATACATAATTATTAGTGTGCAACATGGAAATTTGCACACTAATTATATATAATATGTATTATATATATGAGCGGTCTTCAAAAAGTTCCTGAAGGATTCATATTATCTTTTAATTCAATTTTTCCATGAACTTTTTGAAGTACCCTAGTATAAACTTCTATAGATGACTAATTAGCATCATTCTATTCTATAGCCCAGCCACTTTTCTTTTTAATTCTCCTTTAATTTTGTCAGTCATTTTTTTTTCTATAATTAGCTCTAATGCTACTGTTTTCCTGATACCAAGTCCTATTTAATAATCATAATCACTATTAACACCCATTTACTTGCTCTCTTGTATTCAAAGGTCCAGGCTCTGACTGAGCAAAACTAAGAAATTCAACTACAGTGTAGGAAAAATGAAGAGGTCTTCAGGGGATCCATTCTTGTCACTAACCATATCCGTAGGCCCTTGTGATAAGGCTGTGCGAGGGACAAGTCTCTCTCTCTCTCTCTTTTTTAATCCAACTATTGTCCACTTTGTTCTTTGTTGCTCTTAACATATCACAGGAAAGGTATATGGTGGATGTTGGTGTGGTCATGTGTGCAGGAGTGGATGAGAATTAGAACCGTGAAGTTCAGGAAGTTAATTTAAATTGTAAATAGATTACAAAATACATGTAGCAAAGTCTGGTGTCCCAATTAAGATATTTAAAATGTTCTCCTATGAACACTTTTACCTAAGGAGGTCTTTAACCCAGTTTGCAGCCTAATTAATCTGCATAATTACTCAGCTAATTTTAGTTCTTAAACAAACCAGAGATGGTAATCAGCAAATTGAGTGGCTCTACGACTTGAATCTGGCGGAAGGGTCTTCGCTTTATAAGTTTAGTAATGTCTGCCTTTCCACTTCTGTCCATCAGATACAGATTAGATCGGGTTCCCAACAGCAAATTGACTCCTGTTTATGTATAAAAAGAAAAGTGCTATATTAGTTCAGATTATTTTTTGTAATTGCATTCATATTACTATTTTTGCTATTTCAGTGTGCTGATCTATGTAAAATTGACTTTTTATCATTTTAGGCTAATGTTAACCTCTTACTGGTAACTACTCTCTACCAACAGAAAAAATTTCACTGAAATACATGGAAATATAGAAGACAGTACCTTCTAGCAATATTTCACTGGCTGGTGTCTAGTATACCTTCTCATGAATAGAATTTATGACTATCTTAACAACATTTAGTAGTGTCCCAAACTTTATCAAAATCAATCAATCCTTTTGAAAGTGACCATTAAACATCCTTAGTCTATAGCACATACAAAGAGTTCAATTCATTTAATTTCTCATTCCTAACTATAGCTAAAGGTTTTAATGCTTTCAAAATAATTATATGTAAATAATTGGTTTGAAGTTGAGTGATTCTATGTTCATGCATATATAAAAAAAATTTATATTGATAAATGCCTGTGGAATAAGTTCTTACCTTCATGTATCTAAATTCCTACATACTCTATTATTTTTTTGACTGGCTTTATTTGTTCAAATAGAAGCACTGTTTAAAGACCAAATGAGATGACTGATATAGAACTAAAGTTAAAATATACTTCAAATTACCGTGGGAATTTTTCACCATAAACGGACATAGAAGACAATCAGCCGCGTAATGTAACAAAGGAGAAAACATCGGTGTCTTCCTTCTACTTGGAGAATACAAGGAACTTCAAAAAGTTCATAGAAAAGTAGAAGTGAAAGACAACATAAATCGTTCCATGAACTTTTTGTCATCCCCTCATATTTGTGCTCCATGGGTATAAGGAAAAAGACAAGTGTTTTTGCCTTTGTTTTTCCACTCTGTCCTTTACTAGTTCTCTAATTCACTTCATGGCCAATGGCAAGTTTAGGAAATGCATTTTCCTTCCACAGGGGAGTCAGGGAGTGAGGGAGGGGGAAGTACAGTCAATGTTTCCTATAATCTTTTGTTTTCAAAATATAAAGTCATTAGTTAAAAAAAAATGAGTTACTAGACATTAACTACATCTCTGTAAGTTTGCCAGACTGAAATGTTAACGCTTTCTTTTTATCTGATATGTTAAATTAGCAAAATTTTGAGGATGACATTTTTTTCTAAGTTGCTCAATCCGTGTAATTATAATGTTTGCTAACCTGTTCTATTTTTTCTTTAAAACCCTGTCCCTTGTTCAATCATACATTAAGCAAAATATATGAAATTGCAAGTTGGAGGTTGGGATTTACTTGGGATTTCTCTCCTCCTTGCATTCATTTATTCTCTTTCATTTATGATTCAGATGAGCTTGAGGTAAAATACTGTCTCAGCATTACCGATGTGGTTATTATTCTTCTGAAACAAAGGATTGAAAAAGTCTATCAAAGTTAAGACATTATAGAAGGAACTTTCTACAAATCCTCAAGACTACTTAAAAACAAGATTCTGCATAAATCTTTCTTGTAATACCTCATTAGGTATAATATGCTGAACACTACCCTAAATTAGAATAACTAAGCTCAAATTTTCTACTAATTATAACCTAGTCCAATTTTATATTTTAGCCAAGTCAATTCAGATTAAAAAGAAAGATAAACTAAAAATATGGGTCGGGGGCAACAATTTAAACGTCAAACTGCATTGAGTTAAAAAAAAATCAGCAAAACCAATTCTGGGCAAATTAATGCTGTAAATACATTTTTATTTAATTTTTTATTGATTATGCATATTTTTATTTGATTGGTAATGGTTTGGTAACAGCAAACAAATGTTTTACATCCATGATTTTCACAGGCTTGCTACATGTATAAAAATATATTCTTTAAAACAACAACTCAGTTTTAAAAAACCAAACTCACCCCACAAAGAACCACAGCAGATCTCAAAAGTAAATTCCTTTTCATACATATGGATTAGTGGTTTTTTGCATGCAGGAGAGACATAGAGTGGGTTAACATTGACTTCAGAGGGTTGCTTAGGTGATTTCTCAGTTATTTCCACGAATCCAGCATATACTGTGAAGAAATAAGGGGAAGATATTCAGAGAAATTACTAGCCTATACACCATATGTTTCCACAAATGAGGTACAACCAGAAGAGTTCCTTTTCCTTCACTGCATTTTTTAAATTTAATTACTTTTTCATTGACATGTATTGATTGTACATATTTATGGGGTACAGAGTTATATTCCAATACATGTATACAATGAGTGATGATCAATATTGTGTTTTATTTTTTACTGAAGGTATCATTTCAGTAACTACTAAACCATCAGATAACACAAATCATGATTGTTCCAACACATTGCTGAATATGAATATATTTTAAGTTACTGTGATTAGAATGCAAAAAAAAAAAAAAATCCAGATGAGGAACTTGATTTCTCAATTGTAGCTTAAATTTAGGTATCATAAATATTCAGAGAGCAGATTTTAAAAAGCATATATCAATCAGAACTTTATGTCAACTGAATATCAGAATGATTTGAGTCCTTTCAGTTCATGAATCAGTGGTTAAACACTACTTAATATGTGAACAGATAGCAGCATTTAGAGATTAAATGAACTACACTTACAGATTGCACTGGCGAAGTCAGCATCAGCAGCTCCCCCAAAACCTTTGGAAGGAGATGAGTGGCTGGCAGAAAAACCCAGTTGTGTTGATGATTCCAGTATGTCTGTACTCTCATTCTTGTCATTAGGTGCTGAGGGTGCAGCACCTAAGGCAATGTTGTTTGAGGCCTCACTTACACCACCTGCCTCCTAAAAGAAAACCAAAAACTGATTTTTATTTTATTGAGAGGTTGACAGTGGTAAAAACATGCCTATGGGTCACTTGAAATAGACACTGCAAAATCTGTAACATCTGCATTCTTATAAAATCCACATTTACTAGAAAAACTCAACAATGTCCTCAGAAGAGAGAGAACTAACATTATTGAGGCAACTGGTGTCAGAGGAGAAATTCAAAAAACTTAAAGTCCCCAACTGTACAATTTTGGGCCTAATATTTGTGGAATTTTAACCATGTAGTACCTTCGTGAATCCTTCCCACAACCCAACAAATAAGCATAATTATCTCATTACTTAAAAGGAAACTAAAGCTTAGAGAAGTTACACAATTTATTCAACATCATAGAGCTAGTGAGGAGGGGAAACAGAGTTTGAAGCCAAAGTCTGTTTGATTCCAAAGCTTACATTCAGCTATGCTATGCCAGTCACTTGAAAAAATAACAAGCACAGTGTTGGGGTATCTGCTCCACTGCTTTAAGATACCTTCAGGGAACTGGGAGCATAAAAATCCTGTAGGGAGAAATTTTGAATGACAAAGCTAATGATGGAAATCAACCAACACAAATTCAAGAGTGGGAACATGCGTCATTGAAAATCTAGCCTGCTTCCATTAACTGACAGAGAATATACTCAAGAATAAAAAACACAAAATGATACAATTTACGTGAGATGCCATATCCTGTGAAAAAACATACCAACGGTTTTTGATAAGCTTGTCTGTTGACAAGCTCTTCTTTGTATCCAAAGAGTGATTCTTGGCACTGAGAGAGTTGTGCCAATCTGTCAAAGACTGGTTTATATGACCTTTCCAACCAGAAAAGTATGGTATGGCAGAATGTCCTTTTTAAATTAAAATGAAAGAAGGATTCATTCATTATATAAATTTCCAAAACTTTCCTTAAGATAACTGGAGATACCCAAGGGTGCTATGAAATCTGTGCTGGGTTTAATGTCTTTAATTAAGATAGATAGATACACAGATAGACAGACAGAGACATAGATACTTTCTTACTGATACTGCTTTACTATTGGAAGCTATTTAAGGAATTTCCTTCCTCCCTTTTTCCTTTCTTTCTGTCTTTCATTGATTTCTTCCTTAATTATTGTGTGCCTATCTTAGGCCAGGCCCTAGGTTGGACCCTGATGTTGGGTGAGTTGGTAGAAAAATAATCAAGGATAAATCAGACATAATTTCCCCCTTTTAAAAGTTCATAATCTGGTACTACAGAAAAGCAAGAAAAGAAGTAAACTACAATGTAATAAGTACTAAAATAGAACTATGGGCAAAATGCTTGCAAATAGAGAAGTCATATATAATTTTGCCTCAGGAAGTCAGTGAGAATATTTGAGATTGTTCGCCAAGGATACTAATTCACCACACAGCAAAGAGGTGAGGGGGCACCCTTCCAGACAGAGGAAACCACTTGTACAAGGGTACTAATTCATGAAAGAACATGCCATCTTCAAAGCCACATTGTATGAAAGGGCAATAGGCTGGAAATTAGATTGGCACGATCTTTCCTCTGTCAGGAGTCCCACCTGTGTTTTCAAGTATCCAGATACTCCCCATTTGTCAAGAATTAGTTCAAATACCATGCGCTTCAGCAAATCTTCTCTGTGACAATTCCTATTGAATTAGCATCTGTGGGGTTACTTGAGTATTTTAAACCTATTTATAAAGTCAATAAATGTTTTGTGAGTGACATAATCATTGTCTAAACACAATACATTGTTTTAATTTAAATTTTGTTAACAGTTCCTCAAAAAGCTAAACATAGACTTACCATATGATATATAAATTCCACTCCTGGTTATGTACCCCCCAAAACTGAAAGCAGGGATTCAGACACTTGCACACCAATATTTACAGCAGCACTATTTGTAATAGCCAAAAGGTGGAAAAACCCCAAGTGCCCATCAATAGATGAATGGATAAAGAAAATGTGGTATATACATATGAAGAATTATTATCCAGCCTTACAAATGAAATTCTGATACATGCTACAACATGGATGAACTTTGAAAACATTATGCTAAGTGGAATAAGCCATAAACAAAAGAAGAAATATTGTATCATTCCACTTACATAAGGTACCTAGACAGAAAGAATAGAGTTTAACAGGGGATAGGGGAGTGAGAAATGGGGAATTACTTGTTTCATTGTTTGGGATGATGTAAAAGCTCCAGAAATTGATAGTGGTGATTGCTGCATGATGCTGTGAGTATATTAAATGCCACTGATTTTTACACTTAAAAATGGTTAAAGCGGTCAACTTTATGATCTTTTTTCACAATAAAAACAAACAAAAAACACTTTCCAGAAAAAAAGGGTATGTGTTAAGAGACATAGAGACATGTGATCTGTATAATAAAGCAAGAGAGAGAGAGAGAGAGAGAGAGAGAGAGAGAGAGAGAGAGAGAGAGAGAGAGATTTTTCCCCTGGAAAATAGAAATCATCCAAATTAGAAGTACTAGAGATCTACCTATACATCTACAATTTAAAATGTTTAAGTCTTTTCGGTAGAAGGTTAAAATCTATTTATTTGGAATGTCTGGAAATGCTACATATCACATGAAGAAACACATTCACAAGGAGAGAAGTTCATTCTCCTTTTCAAATAGCACATTACCTCTTGATGTTCAAAGTCCTGGGATGAGGGTCTCTCCAATCCTGGACCATCTGTCTCTGAGCAAATTTCTCCTCCATTGAGTTCAAAGGCTCCACTTTCTTCATTGGTTCCACTGATTCCCTTACCTCCATTACCCCCGCTGCCTCTTCTTCCACTGTCTATATTGGCTCTGTGTCCTTCCTCATCTCTAAAGGCTGCATTGCCCCCACTGGCTGCACTGCATTCATGGCTTCTACTGGCTCTCTGGCTTCCATAACCTCTGCAGACTCCTTCTTTTCCGTTACTTCCATCACTGCCATCTTGCTTGCAGCTTTCATCTCTGCCATAGCTTGCCCTGATAACAAGCTCCAATTAATGAAAGCCACCCAATAAAAACACATTTGAAAGTCAGCAAATGAAACAGAATTAGGATGTGTCTTATTCATAGCTACCATATCCAGGCACATTTTTGCTCTATGGAAACACTATTGGTATAACATAGACAAGAAAAATGACCCATGTCCTGTCAATTGTAAATAGTGAATTAATATCATAGCCACAATCAATTCTCTGGCTGCAAGTTTTTTTTTTAATTTGAGAAATCATTCTACGTTTTAAAAAATATTTTAAATTTTTTATTAGCATATTCATTGTTACGAATCATACTTATTCTTTATGCCTCTTATCTAATCCCCCTCCCCAATCTAATAACCACAGATTTGTTCTCTCCATCTGATAGATTAACTGTTCTTCTGTTGGTTTGCTGCATAGATGATCTGTCCAGTACTGAGACAGGTATGATCAAGTCCTCCCCTATTATCATAAATCAGATGCTTCTTCTACTACTATAGAGAATGCTTTGTGGAGAGAGAGGACCTCTTATTTTTTTGGTCTCTGCTGGTGCCTCTCCTTGTGTCAATGCAGTTTGAATGGCAGAGGGAAGAGAATTTGCATTCTTTGTTAGGTATGTGTGTTAGATTAGCAACAAAAACATGTACATTTTTAAATAATAGACTACCTGAAGCATTACCAATTTCACAGCCACATGAATGACCCAGCCCATATTTTTGGCTTGACCACAACATATTTCCATAATTCTTTTTGCAATATATCTAGTTTATGTTAATTTTGACATCTGCTTTAACTTTCCAACACATACATTGACTGCTTTGCTATAGAATCCCTATGGTCTACAAGTCCCACCAAAAAATTCAATATTATAGACCCATATTTTATAGAACTGAGATTTGCAAAAAACACCAAGCTTAGTAAAATGTTAATGCTATTTTTTTTGGCATAAGAGACAACATTAAACATATGTGCATATGGTAATTCTAAAAGCAAGTTTATTTGACAATGGAATTCTTGGTAGATTTTTTAGTTGGAAAAAAGACCAAAGAACTCTTGGCAATTTCTCCACTAATTTACCAGATAAAGATCATTTTAAATTTATTGTATACATGGCAATAGTGCACTGTTTGAGAAATGCATAGCTATGCTCACAAATATCAGGGCTTCATTTTATGGTAAGTAGCATACTTCATTTGGTATCCCATTTCTCACACTCACTCTGGTTTTATAGGATAGGATGATTCAGTGGCATTAATTTTAACAAACACTCAGATACTTCCAGTTATAAAGAAACTAGCAAATATTTGAGTGCTAATTAAGAATATTATATAAATAACACAAAATTAAGTGTTCTGCCTTAGAACAATTGAAAATCTATTATTGCAAATCAAACCATTTACCAATATGTAAGTGAAATTCATTCACCCTCTTGACAATAAATTTTGAAAAAAAAAACAAAAAAAAACCAAATACACCAGTAATTCTGAACTTATAAAACACAGATAGGAATCCAGAAAAACAAACCTTGGCCAACTAGGCGCATCATCACAATTATTGTCTTCATCATCAACAGATTCATCATTGTTGTCATCATCTTCATGTTCTTCACATATATCATTAGCCTGATCAACCTGGTTATCCAAGTCATTATTACCATTGGCATGGTCATAAGTATCTTCATAAGCATCATTAGAATCACCATCATCACCATCAGTACCAGCACCAGCATCATAGAGTTCAACATAATCACCATCTTCTTCAGGTGGCTGAATGACAGGTGCAGGAGTTAACCAATCATTCCGGAAGATTTCAGAGAGTGCATTATAGCCTACCCATTCATTTGTCAAGTATACAGGGGGTGATATTTTTCCTACTTTAAATCCATCTGGAACCTGTGTGCACAAGAAAGGTTAATGTAGTCTCTAGTAGCCTTTCATTTTCTTCTAGACTGGAAAGTTTCCAAGTTGACAACATTTTAAAATATATTTTCAATTGAAACAAAGATGTTCACTCACTAGAGAGAGCCAACATTTTAGTGAGGATGAGATGCCAAAACCCATACATCAGGCTGTGATTATTAGTGGCCTTTCAGGATCACACAGGGCAAAATTTACTCACTTTGTTTTTTATTATCCTTACTTGTCTGCTGAGGAGCAGATGTTAGTTTTTGATGCTGGAGAGTAGACCAAGTGATTTGATGCTTTATAAATACAATAATCTTTTCCTTTTACCTCCTGATGCTGGGATTAACACATAGCTCTTAAAATTGATATGTTAATTTCCCAGCTCTGGTTTTACATACCATACATTGTCTTAAAGTATCTCACACACTTCTAAAAAACAAATTAATATAAGCCAACTTTTAAGTATGGTATGTGTCATATAGCAACTTTTGGGCAAGCTGGAAGGGATGTACGTATGGTAGAGAAGGGGTAATTACAAAGTAAAATAGAATAATTTGAAAACACACTACAAAAAGAGTTGCAAGACTTTTTCTTCTATTTATACAATCAGACAATATTTTTTCACTAAATGTTTTATTTTATTTATTTATTTATTTATTTTATTTGCGACTGGCCAGTACAGGAATCGAACCCTGGATCTTGGTGTTATCAGCACCATGCTCTAACCAACTGAGCTAACTGGCCAGCCCTTAAATGTTTTATTTTTATACATTGCCTATCACACAAGGAATGCTATTAAATAAAAATTGAGCATCTAACCTCTACCCCTTAATTTAAGACTAGCTTCTACAAATAGCTTTTTATCACTCTTCTCTCAAATATGTTCTAACTGACGTAAGAGTGTGAAAATAAAATACTGTCTGATTGGTTAAGATTATTCCCATTTCAATTTTAATTTCTAGATTTCACATTCTGCATGTTCACATAGCGATGGGAATCTTTCTTAAATAAGATTAATAAAAAATAAACTCTAACTTTTCCTTCCTTTAGTGAATGTATAATTGAATTTTAAAATTTAAAAATAAAACAGTAGACATAAATGTGTTAATATGGAAACCTACATGGATGTCAATCAGCAACTTCTGATCAATGGTAGAATATGGTGGTGATGACTGAGACCTCCTCCTGGTCACAGGACTCTCTTCCTCAGAAGAAGATTCTATGGAATGCCAAAAACACATTTGTAAAAGTGGTGATTACAGCCATTTCCTTCATTTGTGTAGTATACCAGTTCAATCCCTTGTTTCTTTGTTGGTTTATTTATTTATTTATTTTTGCTGTTGTTGTTGCAGCCTCTGTGATTCCATTCAGGAAATATCACCTGGTAAATTCTCATGGGGCCAAGATTCTGTTTTTAGAGGTAATATCAAGGTCAAGTTTTGCTCTGTTTGTGGTCCTACATGGCTTTCCTGTCTTCAATATTAAGTGCACACTTGCTAAATATTTCTCTCTGTGTACGAAGGTACACAGTAAGACTCGTAGTTAGGTAGATGTATTTTAAAAAATGTATCAAGAATAAGAGCTGAGAGTACCACTGGCCTCACATAGTAACCAGTAGAAAAAGAGTCCAACAGAGTATGAGATGATGAGATATTAGCCAAAACTCTTGAGAGTTGACTCTGCAACCCTAATCCCCCAATTTTCACCCAATGATATATCCTCAAGTATTTTAATACAGTTGTGGAGTGAACTACTGAAAAGAAATAAAACTTACCCCCTTTTTATAAATCTGAGAACATTTCTATGGCAGTGATGTTCAATAGAACTTACTGCAGTGATGGAAAAGTTCTGCATCTGCACTGTCCAGTAGAGTAACCACTTAGTCACACAGGAATATTGAGCAAGTGAAATGTGGTCGGTGTGCCTGATAAATTGACTTTTTAACTTCATTTAATTTTCACATTAGTTTCCATTTTAATAGCCATATGTGGCTAGCTGCTATATCACATTGGGCAGCTCAATTCTATACTGTAAATATTTCCACTTAAAACAGAAATTTATCCAGTTTGGAAATCTAGCTTTTGATATATGAGTTGCAGTATGGTAAATAACATCTGTAGTTAAAATACTGTGAGAATATCTAACAAGCTCAAAAAAAAAATCAGTAGGCCTTAAAAAAATTTCACTAAGAGAACACTCAGGTCCCTGTTTATTGTTTACATGCTTGGAGTTCAAAGATAAATACTACCACCCTCTCTTTTACTTGGAGCCTTGGTATATATAGCCAAAGTATGGGTACCACAACTCAAAAATGTATGCGTGTGTAAACACTGCTGTCTTTTGAGAACATTACACAGAATGCATCCTACAATTTGTGTCATCTTCTGGCATGGCTGTACTTTTCTTGTTCATTATTTTTCTGCAGGAAATAATTTACTCTCAAGTCTTTTGATGTGTTAGTAGACTAAAAAGTTCAGGGGGGTGTTGGAGATTTTTGAGGCATATCTGTAGTAAGGTGCTCTGATTTCCTTCATGATGAAGTATGTGATCTCAAGGAAATCCCATATGGTCTATGGAATAACAAAATACTAAGAATAACCAAAGCAATCCTCAGAATAAATAAATAAAGCCAGAAGCATAACACTACCAGACTTTAAACTATACTGCGAAGCTACAGTAACCAAAATAGCATGGTACTGGAATAAAAACAGACACCCTGACCAATGGAAAAGAATAGAGAATCCCGAAATCCTCCCATACACCTACAGCCATCTGATCATTGACAAAGGCACCAAGACCACACCCTGGGGAAGAGGCTGCCTCTGCAGTAAATGGTGCTAGGAAATTTGGACATTCATAAGTAGGAGAATGAAACTAGACCTGTACCTCCCGCCATATACCAAAATCAACTCAAAATGGATTAAAGAATTAAATATGCTTCCTGAAACAATAAAACTCCTTAAACAAAACATAGGGGAACACTCTAGGAAGTAGGTTTGGGTACAGACTTTATGAATATGACCCTAAAATCACAGGCAACCAAAGGAAAAATTTAGGGCCGGCCCGGTGGCGCACTGGATAGTGCGCCGCTTGGGAAGCGCGGTGGCGCTCCCGCCCGAGGGTTCGGATCCCATATACAGACCGGCTCCCGCTCACTGGCTGAGCGAGGCGCGGGAGCAACACCGAGGCTTGCGATCCCGT